GGAAAAAAAAAAAAAAAAAAAAAAAAAAAAAAACAATCGTTGTCCATTGTTATTGTGATCAGTGTCTCGAATATTCTGTTTTTGGCAATGGCAATTTAAATGCTTTAAAATCGTGTCTCAGTTAAATTATTGCCGACTGTATGCAGAATCATGGTATTGTATCACAAAAGAAATTTAGCCTGATAGCTTATATAGTCTTAAGAGTGAGTTGTTATATATAGTCTTTGATCCTAGATATATCGGTACACTTAGATGGCACATTGCTCCCAAGGTTTTAAATTAAAAAAAAAACAAAAAACAAAAACAAATAAACTTTTAAATGTTTTAGACCCAAAGTGTTTTTATTACAGCGGACTGCTACAGATATATCTACTGGTAGAACTCTGGACCAGTCTTTGATATTAATTTTCCTTCATGAAATCGGCCAGTGCTAAATGTTGACGTAAATACCCCCCAACCCCCAAGCCCCCCCCCCCCACCACCCCTTTATTTGCGGGATACTGCCTTCTCCCCCATTCACTCCCAAGTTAAGATAAGATAAGATAAGATAAGAGTTTATTTAGCCAATTATAAAAATCGGAAATCATTTTCCTTTTGGAGCAATATACAGAGTAAAATAATACAATGAATAAATAAATTAAGAATTTGGTTTCGAGATCAAATTAACTGCACTTGGATAAAAGCTGTTTAGAAAGCGTTTACTGCCTTTTAAAAAAAGTTAAGTTATTACAAGAAAGAACGAATTGAGGCACAACCAGTTAATTTTGTATTCATACATGTGCTCCACACATTGAAGTACTTTCTCTTTCTATCTACTATTAAGCAGTATTCCATTCTTTACCTTGTAAAACATCAATTATCTCCTTCCGATTTACCACAATAGCTGTAACTGCCGGCGAGATGCAACTTGATATTGTTGTTCAATTTAACTATGGGGTTTCTTTCAGGTGGATTCCTGCCCGCAGCCTTCATGGTCGCCACTGCTTTCATAGACTGTGATACCAGGATGGCGGGGGTGGCATTCCTAACACTTGCCATGACCTTCTCGGCGGGGGCGCTAGCGGGCTACCAGATCAACCACGCGGACATCGCTCCCAGGTGAGAGTACAGGGCTATCCCAGCAAATACATAACGTTAGTATAACGTTACCATAACGTTAATTTTACCAGAAAACGTTATGGCCACGTTATGGTAACGTTATAAATCGTTTTGTGTTTGCTGGGTGGAAGATTCGGACTTTCCGTATTTCAGGTTTGCCACGGATAACAGAAAAACCTCCTACCCAGGAGACGCTTAACAATGTTCGGTGTCTTACCTGTACGTTTGAAACTGACCAATTTTAAATATTTCACACTGGGAATTATATGTCATGGTTTAATAAGATATAATTGAAACCAGACGCAACAAATGTTCCACTAGTATTTCGAGAATTTTTATCCTATGTCTGGATGGTTGTAAAGTACTGGTTCAACGCTTGTAAGCATGTATGACAATTATATATACAAATATTAAGTTGATCAACTATGTTGTCAAAATACACATTTAATTCAGATTCGCCGGTGAAATATTCGGCATTACCAACACAGTGGCCACTATTCCTGGTATGATCTCTCCCAGTGTGGTCAGCGCTCTTACGCCTAACGTAAGTTACGGTTTTTAAATTATTAAAATATTACAGTCTTTTGATCTTACAAGCAACACGGATATTACTACTTGTGGGTGTATTTTGGCTGATTTCAAACATTCTTCTATTTAGGGCTCCAAAGAAGAGTGGCAAAGGGTTCTCTTTATAAGTGGCGCCATTTACTCTTTTGGTGCTTTGTTTTTCTTGATATTTGCGAGCGGCGAGGAACAGTCTTGGGATAAAGTCGACAACATGAGTTATCAAGAAGATCAAGAAGCCAAGGAAAGATTCCAGATTGACGATCTTGCGCTGTCAACTTTGTGAGAGTGATGGGATAACGGCAGTAGACTGGGCTTATCTTACTTAATGATTCTTCGATACATTCTGTCAGAATCAATTAATGTCAATTTTTCCCAATGTCAATTTTTCCACATTGTTAAAGTGG